TTTTTCGAGCAAAGTGTTTTTTTACTCGTCCAAGCTTTACCCAAAAACATATATGTATATCACAGTTGCCGAATTTATACAAGACCATTTCAGCGTGAATTAATGTATCACCAAACCTACTTAATCAAATTAACAGTTAGTGATTAAAAATAGATTTTTAAATTGCGGGTACGATTAACTGTTTAACCAGATTAAATTGAATCATGATTAATTCTAATTCGAGTGAATTTAACTAATTGATTAAAAAATCAATCGATTAGTGCCAAGATTTCTTATTACCAATTCGAAAGGGAGCGCAATTGTGCCATTTATCAGAAAATCGAAGTTGGCAACTCCTACTACTGCACAAATCTCTAATCCTTGCGTAATCTTTACTAAATTTTTATAATGCAATCATATTTTGAAAGCTTACAAATTTTCCCTACAGAATGACTGCAAATTATAAAACGTGAAAACCTTAAGTGGCACTACTGAAAATTGTTATAATTTGAGTTGAGTCCTTATTGCAGCAGCCTATCGATATCGGACCAATAAGACTCATGGGAGAAGCTTAAGAATAATTGAAACATAAGCTGTATGTATATGAGGGTAATAAGAGTTCAATATGATTCATATTGATGCTCATTTGATGTATGAATTAAAGTTCATATATTTAAGTCGATCTTCAGGAGAAATGAAACACCTTCAATTTGGACTCTTAGGGCCGGTTGCTCAATGGCTGGTTAACACTAATCTCCGCTTGAACATTGTTGTCGACGTTATCGACTCCATGTTATATAAATGAAATTGAGTAATCGGCCCTTAAATGAGCTCATTATGAGGGTAAACAATACGAACTAGGACTCCTAAGTTACTCATTTGTGGCTCCAAATGTTTGCTGGGATCAGGCGTAGATTTTTTTTTTCAAATACTTCAGCCAAGTTTTCATATACTTTTTCTCTTTCTTTCTTTCTTTTATATACAGTTGCGAGGAACTTGTAGAAAAAAGCGATAATGGCGCAGAAACGTATGCCATTCCGAAATATTCACATTTGGAAATGTGCGAACAAGTGAATCCATGGAGTAGCACCGTAATAATTGTTATTGTTTGCGGTGTAGTTGCCTCTCTGGGATTGATTGTTCTAATTGTACATGGACTGCGTCGTTTCTATAAACCAGCACGCCCACGTATAAAGAAGACATTCGTCGTGCGCAAACAGGCTTCCCCTTCAACGGATACACCGCTAACGAATCGTCCCATTGCCACTGAACAATGTGAAATTACAATAGAAAATTGCTGCAACATGAACATTTGTGATACGGTAAGTTACATATATGTACATTGATTAGAATATTTAAGGCTGTTTTCTCAAGTAGTTTTAAAGTTTATCAGCGCTTTAAAAATACATCTTATTCTGAAAAAAAAATGTGTTTGAAGGACAGGTAAATTTTGAAACACTTCTTTAGAAACCCCACAATTAGACTCTTTTAACCTTTGCTAAAATGACTTACTTCGTATGAAATCAAAAGTAGCGCTGTTCGCCTTCATAGGTTTTGCAGCATCTAAGAATCAGTACGAGTACTTCTACCAGTTCTGCATGTTTATCTACATACCCTTTAGACCTTTTACGATTCCAACTAAGCAAAGTTTGTCCAGAGATTAAGCAGGGCGTACCTTGTATTCGTCTTTCATTTGCTTTTAAGTTCAGCTTTCAAATGGCCAAAGGCATAGTTACCCTCATCAGCGGTCGTGTCAGTCCTAACTCGAACTCATGAGATGATGGGAGACCGTGCCCCTAAAGAGTTGATCAAAAATCGGTATAAAATCCGTATTAATTGAAAAATAACAAAAATGTGTGCTTATTTTGAGAGAGTATAACTATGAAATTACAAGCAGTGGTACCAGATGCAAGCAAGCAAGGGAAACCCTCCTTTGTGGCTGGCTGAACTCCTCCTGTCGCTGCATTCAGTAAGCGGCCCAGATCTACGGAGATTATTCCAGAAGCCAGTGGGACCTTGGTGGATGTACCGACTTTCAAATCTGCTAGCGAATGTTGCAAGAGAAGGAAAACTGCGGTGACACCCACCAATGGCTGCCCACTGCCTTTTCGAGTCATAGTGTGGCGGGTACACTGGTGTGGCATTGCCCAGTTTCGATCAGCCAGGCAGATCTCTGGCGCCAAGAAACGCTTGGATGGAGGGTATGCGAGAACCACAGTGTCAAGGTACTACAAATGCTTTGTTGGCATAACTGTGGCTAATGAAGATGCCCTAAAATATGCTATTGAGTTTTTTGGCAGTCTCAAATCGCCCGATCCGGATGGCATCCTACCTATTGTACTTAAAGAAGGTGGTGAGCTTTAGTTGGTGACCTTGAAAAAGATTTTCACAGCATCGCTGGCACTTGCTTACGTACCACAACCTTGGAAGCTGGTTGATGTCGCCTTTGTTGTTGGTAATTATGTAATTCTAATTCCAGCACGTTTGACCCATCGGACTTGATTTTTACTGTCAAGAAAACTATACTTTCCTCTCTTAATAAATAAAATAATATCTTTAACAAATGCATTTAGTTGATGAATTGAATTATGTAGCTGACTAGGCCCCTCGTGTCGCTTGGGGTTGAGCGGGAGAAGGGTAAACTTGTTGGGATTAGTCAATTCTACATTATTTTATATGGTTGTGGAATACGCGAAAAGCTCGAAGTTTTATTATTTCGTGACCATGATCACGAAATTGAATTTGCGTTCCATATTATCGGAAGTTTCTGGGAACTAGTTTTGGCTTTCCTGCGGAGGTTGTTATTTCCTTTTTGATGATAAGGGATTATTATCCACATTGAGTATGTACTTTTTGTACAAAACTCGTGATGGAAACATTTGGATTTTTTTAGAAAGAGCTGACCACTTCTTGATCACTTTCTTGTTAAACAAATCCTTTCAACTTTCCTTTCCAAAGATAATCCCTCTTTAAATATTTTAAGTACAAGAGCTACCTCTCAATTTGCAACATCTAAAGTTTTTGCAATGGTTTTGTGAGCTAAACTTATTAGAATACACAGTGCGACAGTAAATTTTATAGTAAAACTACGTACTTAGTTTTTTTTCTCTCTGACGTCAGGATTTTTTAAAGGACTTTGAAATTAAAAAAAAATATGATTATTTGATTTTTTTTTTAATTCAGTGCAATGTAGAATAACAATAATCATATAAAAGAAAAAATTCTGTAGAATTATAAGACTACATTTTTTGGTGCATAACGAAGAATGGGTGGGAAATGTCCACAACTGTTCAACTAGCCTTTAAAGTGAATGTAACGGCGCGTCTCCACAGGCAACAATTTTTGCCCACCAACTGACATTTTGATTGGATAAAAGATTTATCAGTTGCAAAATTTGTGTATGGGCATATTTTTATCTTGTTAAACGCACATCCCACATGACGCCACTAGAAAATATTCTGCTTATTTTAACGAATAGAAATTTTGAAATTTTCTACGATGTTACTACTAAAGGTGAGATCACACAATTGTCGTAATATGTCAATTATTGCGTAAATCGAGGCCGATATTGTTCTTATTGTGCCCAATCGAACATAAAACGGGTGCAACCACAATTTGCGTGTGACTGTACAGAATTTAATTTGGACAAATTGTTTATTGTGCACCAATTCAGCACACAAAAAAATCTATCAGATTGGTGCATTTGCGACAATCGTGAGATTCCAGCTTAACACGCTTTCTTTCAAACTAAAAAATTTGCCGTAAAATTAGCAAATTGACAGTTCATGGCAGGCTGCATTTGTCGAGATAACAGCTCTGACAATAAGTTTGTTCGTCGAAAATCCAGCAAGAATTATCCAACACTCAAAATATCCGAGAATAAGAAAAAATTCTCTCAAATTCTCTCTCATGTTGAGAAACTTGCAATTTCAGCACGAACGCAAATTTGCAGGAATTTGCAAGTTGCCCTGCCAGCTGGTGTCCACGGTTGCATTTCTAACATAATAAATTTGTATAGAATTTTTAAAATTCTTTCAGATGAACAAAAACAGGATACACATGTTCTGACTTTCTTTAACTTACATTTCAATTTCTTTATCATACTAGCTGTCGGGTTTCTTAAATCGATTCCGATTTCGAATACAATTCTTTTCAGCCGAGTTAAGTTCAAATCATTGGAATTAACTAAATTAATTATATTAACAAGTATTTACTTCCATTTTTCAAAAAAAAAAATCGCTCGTGTTTATAAATTTTTAAATTTAACGAACTTATTTATTCAAATTATCGTAGACAAAAATGCAACCATGTGCCACAATCATATGTTTTTCGTGATTGCGAATTCTTGCTGGCTAAAATTTTTCCTGCAAGAATACGCAACTTTTCTCTAGGAGAACTGTCACTTTGCGCTTTCAGTTTTTGAGTGATGGATAATTTTTTGATCTGCACGAACGCGATTTGGGCAAAAATCATGATAATTCGTACAAATTCGTACAAATTTTTTGATTGACGAACAAACCTAATTAATGCTTTCCATGAGCCGCTATTGGCAATATATTTTTCGCATAACATTATCAACATAAAAACTATAGCCTGTGGAGACACCCCGTAAGAATGAAGAATGATAACTTCGCATAAATTTTAAACTGTAATTTATAAATTACATACTTTGTATGCACTCCATTACCCAGAAATTAACAGAACTTGCAAAAACTTAGCGATCTGTTCCTATGTTTTGCAACTTAAAGATAGTATGTATCAATTAACATAGAATTCTCCGCAAAAATCCGCCGACTCTCGGGTTTCCCACGTACTGCCGGTTTCATCATCAATTTGTATAAGTGAAAAATGACCTTTCCCTTCTGTCAGTTTAAAAACAAAAAATTTTCACTTAAAGTGCTTTCGTCAAACTGGCTATATTCAACTTAAATTTACTACATAGTATATCAGGGAATTTCGCACGAGCTGGTTGTCCGAATTAAAAATTATGAGCGGTGTGTATTAACAAATAAATACCCAGCTGATCTAGATTACATTCTTATCTATGAAAATTTCCCGCTTTTCGGCAATTCCCAGCGCAAAAAATAATTTCCATGAATTTACATGCAAACAACGTAAAAACCAGAAGGTGAAACAGTTTTTTGTGGCATTATGCCTTCTATGAAAATATTATTACAATATTTAATTACATTTAACTGATTTGCGATAAGGTGGATTAAATCTGTTCTAATAAACGTTTCGTCGAAAAAAAAACTAGAGTTCATGGGTTGAATAACTGAAATCGGTTTTTAAGTGAACCTAGAGAATATATTAATGTGCAATTTCTAATCCGGTAGAGATTACGAGACTTTTATTCCTTTAAGTTTTGCCCATCATTATCGCGATTCGCGAACTTGTCATTTGGACACTGATCGCTTTCTGGGTATTTACAGAACTGCACATATTGATGAAGTCAGAGGTTCGGTTAGATTTAGCTGGTAATTTGTAATTGGACTCACCCAAGCCCAGGAATTTTATGTCTCAACGGAAATTATAAGCTTAACACGAATTGTTAAAACTATCGCATTTCTAAAATCTATACTTACACATCTCGAAATTTAAATTTATTTTAATAAATTTTATTACAAATTTTCAGCCATGCTTCGATTCAAAGCTCCTGGAAAAAACACTCTCACGCAACTCCAAAGTCAAGGAGGACAAGAAAATGCTAATAAATGGCATGGAAGATGAACTTTATTAGTTAAGCATTAAATAGCGTGCCATCAAAGCGAGGCGCTTGCGATGCGGATACAGTACGCGCGGTCAGGGACTGGCATACTTCTTCTGCGCGCAACAAACGGAGAACATCTACAAGAGGCCTTATAGAACGAAATTTCCAGAAATAAAAAACACACAAAAAGCAAAAGAGCATGCAAATGTAGAAACGACAACACGATGGAGAAGAGGAAATGCCAATGAGAGATTCAAAGTACGACGTTGAGTAAGAAGAAAATAGAGAGAAGAGTGTCTGACGCCACGGACAAATGTAGTTAGTACAAGTTCCTCGTCCGTAGCAGCAGGCTGCAGAAGTGCAACCATGGATAAGCTTTAAATAGAGTACACTCGTCAAAAAAAAAAGTCACAACTACTTAGTTCAATTCATGTACTTATTTTTGTTTTATTTGCATTGACACCATTGTCTTAATTTTTATGTACTTACGTATGTTCATTAAATAGTAATTTCATATACATATACTATGTACATACGAATATCGTACATTTATCTAATAATTTTGAATTACTTCTCTATATTATTAAAGGTACGATATGTACATATGTATATTTTTTTCAATTTTAGCGCAAACTATTAATTGCTAACTAAAGAAAATCCTTTTAGTTGAATTTTAACATATGAATTATTTATTACTACTAAATTCGCATATAATTTTAATTTGCAGTTTTAAGAATTGATTGTATGAAAAGTGAAAATCAATTAAGGCTGTATAAACACTTTGAAAAAGTGTTGCGTAAAGTTGTGAATTTAAATTTTGTTACTTAAATAATAAAAAGAATTTGCACTAATACCAAAAACTGCAGCCAATCGTATTAAATGCAGAAATAAATATGTACGTCTTTTTTTCTTCGAACAAAAATGGGAGCGTTGAAAAAGGTTGGTTCTCTTCAACACAGGTTTTCAGCATTTTGAGTTCCTATATATGGGTCATTTCCAAACAAAATGCAATTATTTTGTGTGTGTTTAAGTGACTTTATCATTGCACCATGGTAAGTACGGCCGGCTAAATAAGTATTTCCGGAACATCACCCATATTTATGCGTAAAAACACTAAAAAAGGAAAGCGGCAATCAAAAGGCGACATTTTTTGGTAGAAGCGAAAACACCATAAGACAATTACCACTAGTCTGTTTATTGCTTAATGAGTTTCAATGATTTCCTTGTTTTTATATTTTCGTAAAATAAAACTCAAACACTATTTTTCGAAATGCGGAATTCTGAGTCGATATTGTGCTGACTGTAAGCAACCAAAATTAATATTACTGTACCGATAATGTAAACACTCGGCCTGTTCGAGGCACATAATAAAAGCGGCAATACTGCAGCAGTGATGAAAATTTGCGATACTGTTGCAACTTCCCGACTGATAAAACATTGCTAGAAATTCACAACGAACGTGATACTTTATTAATTCGCGCAACACTGCGATTGTGATTGCATCGCGAACAAACCCCCTCTTTTACTCATTATAGAACAATCAAATTGTAAAAAGCGCGGTGATTTTTATGGGGATAGTGTAACCACATTGTTGTGTTTATCATCGCATATTTAATTTGGCCGATAGAAATTGGTTAACGTGGTCCAAAGCTATGCGGTAACACGCATAAAAAAAAAAAAAATAAAATAAAAATATTCCGACGAATTGATAACCTTCTCCTTTTTGTGAAGTCGGTAAAGCGAGTCGGCGAGCTTTCTAATTAGATTCCTTAGAAAAATTTTAGGGATCTTCATCTCAAGTGATAAAGGCATACATTTCTCAAATTTATCGGTTTATCCGCATTCTTACATGAACACACCTTGGCAAACAATCGCATAAAATTGTTTATTATTTAACTTATAGGCTAGTTAGGTTTTATTCTTACCTCGTCTAATGTGTCAAAGCGACCACCTGGCAAACTATCAATGATGAAATTTATGCATTTATCCACCTACATGATTTGATAAAGTGATAAACTTTGGTTAAATAGATTCCACACAGAGTTTGACAGTTCATTTATCAAAATGATAAATTTATCCTTTTATCAAGTTTATCAGCAGTTATCATTTATGAGTACGCAGTTTTCTAGCCCATTCAATTTTAGTTTAATAAAGTGTAAGTTGGAAGTAGTTAGAATTTACCGTTCACATGTTGCAATTTCTAACGGTTTTGTGCATTTTCTTCCATACAAAGCACATTCGACGATTTTTTTTTATATATGGAAGAAAACAACTTCAACAAAAAAAACAAGATGCCAAAAATATGATCCTATTTTCTATAACATTCCTGAGTATGCAGTTTTATCATTTTAGTATAATAAAGTGCAAGTTTTAAGACTTTAAAAAATTGCGTTGATTTTTAGTAATTTTTCTTTTTTGCAGATGGCCTTATGCGATGATTTCATAGTTAATATAAATATTTTATGAAATAAATGCGCAAGACCATTTAGAAAAAAAATTACACTAAATCCGTGCAAGTTTTCACAATTTGCATGTATATAAAAACTTCAGTTGCGAATTCCTTCAAAACCTTGGTTTCTAATAAACACTGAAATAAACTAATTTATATAGCAGCTGTTTTTGAATTGTATTAGGTCCTTACTTAAAAAAGGTTGGTGCCGGTTAAGGTTAATAAGGGTAGGCATGCGAAATAAGCAGGGCTGCATGCAATTCCGAACGCAAAAACTTAAAATACAATGGCTGTCAAATTTTGTCTTCAACCAAACCAACCAACACCTATCAAACATATTTTTGAGTTATTAATATTGTTTTCTCGACCGCGAAAAAAGACGTGTAAAAAAACTACGGCGAAGGAAATTTAAATTAATATTAATTATTTCCTTTTTGGTTGTTGTTGTTTCCGACAGGGTGGGTGTATGATGTATTATGGAACGAATTTCCACCATCCCTTGTCAAATTTGGTTTGGAGACAAACCGGACCAGAACGAAAAATGACACTGAAGATGGCACAACGCCGAAACCGGTTTGTCTCCAAACCAAATTTGACAAGGGATGACGGAAATTCGTTCCATAATACATCATAATATTAATTAATTTATAAATCAATAAATTAAATGATTAAAAAATAAATAAATAAATGGTTGCATACATTTAGGTATTCTTTAAAATTTTCTAAACAATGGAGGCTAAAAGAAATGAAAAAAAATTTTTTGGTCTTCATTTGTTTTTTGATCTATGATAAATTATCTTATTAGATAATTTTTAGATTAGGTTAGATTTTACAAAGAGAAATTACTTGATTTCAGCATGATTTGCTTATGAATTACAAACGAGCCGTAAATTACGCTTTGCGTACAGTCAGCCCTTTCGTTGCCTTCAAACCATTCATGCCCCGGAACCCTCCACAACAGCGTTACGCTATTGCTGCCTGAATATCCGACATACAATTTATTCTGGCCTCATTTGCCTTCTACGATGATATTCGCGAACATGGACTTCGATTGCGAAGAAGTTCGCCTGGAATATAGTTGTGTACGAGTCCACTGGCAGACTTTTTTTTTGAATTTCGGTCCAAGTATTCCATAAAATATATATGGATGTTCATATTGTATATTGGCAGTAATAAGGGTATACGTTTCTAGTTAGGAATCACATACATGTTTGCGACCGCCGTTATACGAAAGCGTCGATGAAATATTCGCGTAAAATAGGTTACTGAAACGTTTGGAGATATGTACATATTTTATATTTTTCGCAAATAACTATTACTCATTGGCACGGAACCTGAAAGCCTACCAACCTACCTATTTTGGAAGGAAAAGGCCACGTGTGGCAACACTGTTTCATTGGAATCCACTACCGGAAGTACAGGGTGATAAGCACGCGTTCTCACGCTGTATTTCCGGTAGTGCATTTGGTCCCATGTAAATATCCCACCCCAGGTAACTGTAAACTAAACTGTAAACTAAACCTTACGGTACGGTAACTGTAACCTGTAATTTAAACTTTAATTGTGCGCTTCTTATTCCAAATTTTCACATTTTAATACATCACACTTTTTATTGATTCCTTAGCTGTTAATTCACAAAAAAATTATGTACCATGTTTACTTAGAAATATCATTTGAGCCATTTTTCTGAAAGCATCTGCTATACACTATTTCTGAAAATTTCTTAAGCATTTTCTTAATAATAGTCCAAGTGCACCTACACTATAAAATATATTATACAATTTTGTTTTTCGCGAATAAGTTCGTGATCCAAACAGATATTTAAGATAACTTAAGATTTTTCCAATAGATTAAAGGATTTTCTATCCAATGGTACGAGAGACGATATTGAATAATAGTGTATGTGGCATTTACACTGTTTCTTTATTCCAGCGACGATATAGTATATGTATAGCTCATTCAATAACATAAACCATATAAATCTAAGTTTAAAAATTTATGTATATAAGGTTCACAGAAATTCAAATTTGCAAATTTTAATTCTGAATTTCTAGAAAATTTTCGAGTATGCGGTTTTGTAGACGATTTAGTATTTTGCATGATTAAAATCTATTTTTATATAAAAAAATCCGCAACGCCCAAAAAAAAATTCTAAATAATGAACATAATTTTTAGTGACTTCAAACTTGTTTTATCAGACTAAAATTGAATGGGCTACAAAAAATTCGCAACACCCACACAAAAAAAAATTAAATAATGAACATAATTTAGCGGCACACTGCATACTTGAAAATTTTCTCAAAATTCTGAATAAATAGTTTGAAATTTTGATGGTTTTGATTAATTTTTTTGAGCTATGTGCAAGTTTTGAAATTTGAAACTTTTATTTATGTGGTTTCTATTATAGATCGTTTTATATTTTATATGAAAATTATTAAAAATAAATAATACCGCTACCGCAGCTTCTCATTAAAATACAATCGCCGTTCGGAGTCGGCGTAAAACTGTAGGTCCCTCCTCTCTGTGTGACAACATCAAGGCGCACGTCACAAATCGGAGGAGAAGCTCGGCCAAACACTAACCTATGTGCAAGCGCCAATCTATTATTATTACTGTTATAAATAAATATCATTTTGAATTTTGCTACTATCTTATTGACCGCAGCTGTATGTATATATATCAACATGACGTCGATGAAAACGCGGATTTGCTGTGTGACGGGATGCGTGTCTGACGGGCAATCTGTTTTACACGCGTTCCCTAGAAGCCGAAATGACCAAAATAGTTGGGCCGAGGCGTGCAACGTGATACCATCTAACGATGCCAATTTATTTGTCTGTCAACGCCATTTTTTAGCCTCACATTGTAATGAATTCCAAGCTTTTAAAAGGGGATTTTCCCTCACTAAATTTAGAGCCCGTAAAAACATCTAGGAGTCGCTCATCT